TGGTCAGTCCCACTGTGCTTTAGGACATCAACGCTCTTTATAAACATTAATGAAATCAAGATATTTTCTATAAGCATAACAGTTAAACAGCAAATATTTATAAAATAATAATACCAAACTCCCTGACACTATGTCCCTAGGTCTTTCTTCCTCTGTCATGTTACAGTTTGTCTCTTCTGCATCTGACAGACTCATTTTGTTGGCGTCTTTAGTATCTGGCCCCTCATCATCTTTTTTTCCCTTGTGCACGTAAATTTTCAGTGAGAATTTTATATCCCTTGCATTAAAAAAAAGGTTACAATCAACCCCTGCAGTGGCGATATGTGCTACTGCCATGGGGGTGGGGGTGGGGGCACGCAGATATTTAAAAAGGCAAAGGAAAAACCCTCCCATTTCCTCTTTCTCCTTCTTCCCCCATTTGCTCTGTCCTCCTTCAGGTATCTGCAGGAAGTTAACAAAAGGAGTTGGGAAACCTAAGAGAAAGATTCTATAACAAATTCCTTAAGAAGTTTGACCTTATATGAGATTCTACAACATTGCAGCAGAAAGAAGAAAAAAGTAAGATTTCTCTCAGTGTTTTTTTCCCACCCTATCAGTCCAAAAGAAAAGAGAAAATCAGTTTAGTTTAGGACTTTGTCACTTGAATGTCCAAGGCCCGTTGTCCCACCTAATAAATTCAATGGGAATTTTGCCATTAACTTAATTTGTACAAGTTCAGGCCCATACTAGTCAGTTCCTCAAATACCTCAGTCTAAAGAGTTCTGAAGATTCCATTTAACAAAAAGTTCAGATGCTTCTAATATGGCTTTCTTTTGGTTGGAAATTGTGTTGGGATTCTCATGAAAACAAAACTTTAAAGGGGATTTTCAGTTTTCCTGGTTGCAGTTGGCTCAAAACTACTGAGAATAAGGGAGGTTTAAGAAGAGTTTGTTGGGGTCCAGGCCCTGAATATGTGGAGGGTCCCTTTTCTGCAGTCTGTCAGTGATCACTTTGTCGCACATAGATATTATGGCAATGAAGTATTTAAAAATCCACAGACAGCAGATCACTGTCAGCCCACCATTTGTTGTCCACTTGGGACTCAAGAAGGAGGAATTGTATGCTGTGTTTCTAAACCCCTCATATATAGATACATATGATAGAGAGGGAGAATGTATTAAACACATATTTTTTTTGCTTTTTAAATGTCACAATGAAGTCTTGGGGGAGTCCTTGTCCCTCAGAGTTTTGAGACCAAAACGACTCTATTGATTGCACAGAGCCTGAGGCTAGAATACGGCCCTTAACAAATTAGGCACACAGTTGCACATCACAGTTATTTGAAATTCTTGTCCTTACAATTCCATTATTAGGCTTAAGAGTTAATTTAACTGCACTGACATGAATCTGAGCAGTTCACACTTCTCAGAGCTATGGTTTAAGATAGTCTGAGACATCACTAATCAATTCACGTTCAGGTCACCTCCATCTCACCTAAACACTTACTTTTTTTGGTTTTGTTTTTTATTTTCAGTAAAGCTTAGATTCTTCAGAATCTGAATCTGGCATGGTTCCAGATTTATTCCTCAAATAAGCTGGATGTTTGCCACCACTGATACACATGGACTCAACCAAAATTCCCCATGGGCAGATTGCAAAAGTCCCATCCATATCTTTTTTCTTACAGTATTAAATAGAGTGGTTGGTATATACAGTGTTGTGAGTGTTTCCTGAACTCTTGGCAGAATGATGTTTCTGGGTTTGTTTTTGTTTGTTTCTTTGCAAGAACTTACAGAATCAGACTTTTCTTTTCCCTGAAATGTATTTGTCCTGCACATGAAAGAGATTGAGGAGAAGAGGAGCTGGATGGCATATTCTGAAATACTATATATTTCAGAACATCCTTCCAGTTGTCAGTGTCTGCACCCTCTAGAAGTATGGTTTCAATTTTACTTTTGAAATATGAGTCAAGCAATGTTGCCAGCACATATTTTTCCCTGTCAAAACATTTCACTTGTTCCTAAGTCTGTAGACAGCTTTTGGGTTACATCTTTTCCCCAGTCTTATTGAAACAGGATCTTCATTTCTTTTGAAATCATTTTTCATTAGTGTGGAAGCAAAAGTAGATACTATAACTGATAAGTGGCAGCACCTGGCTTAAAGTAGTGCCTTCAGCTCTTATTTTCTGTGTGATCACTTCTGATAATTGGAGGATGAAAATCAAAGCAGCAGTTACATTCAAATCAGGGTAGGTGAAGACACTATCTTCCTATGTGCCTATATAATCGGCAATGCTTTCTGTTGCTCAGTGAAATGATAGAGTACACAATAAGCAGATTTAATAGTTTACATGCTGTTTCAACAAATGGTTTTCTGGTGTAGCTTGGTCATGGTTATTGCTGGCTGAATTATTAATTAACAATAAATTAATTTCTTTTTTCTGTTTGTGAGTCATTTGAGAACTGATCATGACTTCTATGGCTATACTGATTATTTGCAAGCAAATTTCAGTTTGAGTTGTTTGCGAACTGTTTGCTTCAACTATTTACTGTTTGCTGTTCTTTGGGGTATGGCAGACCAACTGTGTCACATGGTATAGTTCCTGCTCCCTAACCAGGCACCTACAACTTTTTTAATTGGGATAGTACCGTGTTTCCCCGAAAGTAAGACATCCCCCGAAAATAAGACCTACTTCCAGTTTTGCCTCTCGCTGTAATATAAGGCATCCCCCGAAAATAAGACCTCCCGGATAATAAGGCCACCCCGGAATATTAGGCCCCGAAGCTCCAGGAAAAATAAGACCTCCCCTGAAAATAAGACCTAGCGCATCTTTGGGAGCAAAAATTAATATAAGACACTGTCTTATTTTCGGGGAAACAGGGTATAAATAACTAAACAGTGCAAAATGCAACTTCCAGTACAAATTATCAGATGAAAAATTATTTGTGTTTTAATTATAAATTTTGGGGAACTTTATATTTGGGATATTTGAACTTTTTATCAATAAACCCATGCTCATCCAACTACTTATCAGCAAAAAATCATATGACTCCATTAATAACAGTGAAGATAGAATTTACCATATTTAATTGCAGAAATATTCATGAATCACTTTTTATATTATTCTTCCAGCTGTATTTATAACTTCAACTAGCTTTTGTAGAACAGCTGTCCACAGTTCAGATATCAAACTTCCTGCCAATCATATTGTAATGTTACATCAGGCTTTCAGTCAGTGAGGAGCAAATTTGTATAAAATTATTCCCATTAAAGAGTAAATGCAGTCAAATGAGAAGAAAGCAGAGTAAAGACCAAGAGAAACAGATAAAATATAATAACTGAACAAAACAGGACAATATATATCCACTATTGCCTTGGACCATTAAAACACACCTCAACTACCGAAATCAGGACAAATAGCAATTCAAATATCAGAGTTTCCTTTGGTGGTAATGGGCTTACCTGAATACAATAGGTATGATTTTATTTTCTTTACAATTTTTATTGAATTTACATGAGTCTCAGAGAAGAAGGTTATGAGTTATTAATCAGAGCTGATCAGAAAATTATTTTTACACCACAAAAAATATATTGACATTTTTATTTGATTTTTGGGAGATTTTCATTGGCTGACTTACTGCCAAGTATATGTATATAGACCATTAGTCTTTTTGATGAGTAACTTGTTGACCTCTGAATTCAAAGATGCCCAGTCATCTAGGAGTAGGCCACTCCCTATCAGATGGTGTTTTATTATGATCATTCCATGTTTTTATTTGTATAAGTATGTGCAGAGTGAATGGATAGGAGTTTTTACTGTGTATAAAGTGCTATACATCTTACACAATACTCTTCTATTATTAGATCCAGGTAGAAGGATCAAAGGGATATTCCTCAATCAGTATAAGAACATAATTCATTGCCTGTAGACCATGCTGTGACTATAACGTGGATTTTAACATGTGTATACAGTGCACATATATATTGTATATTTAAGAGAAAAGGCTTGTTTTCTGAACAAATCCTAAAATAGTCAAACCACTTTTCTTTGCCCTTGGGCTGGAGATATGCCAGGACAAAGCCTTTTATTGAAAAACAGCAATATAAAATGTATCAGTTCTTTTAAGGCAGATTGACATGTAGTCTTTACCAAAATTTAAACCACATGCTTGCAAAAGTTTAAATCACAGAAGGTGGCTGCATTAAAATTATGCTCACATCTGGAGGCAGCCAATTCTCATAGAAGCAGTTTGGTAAATCTATATTGAAGGCATAGTCCCAAAATCCAAGTTTGCTTGGGTTAGAATAACCTCTGATTCAATTGGATCAGAAATGATGTAACTGGGCACTCAAAAACAAGCGATTGTATTTTCTCTTCTATTATTATTCAGACAACATGCAGATTATTTTGAGTGATGTCCCTTTGACTGAAGAAGTAATGGCACGTTGGGAAGGGAACCAGAAGTTCTAGAAAGGCAGCTGAAATTTGGTAGTTGAAGAAGTTAAGTATAGTGACAGTGGAAAATAATAGGATGTAGGTAAAGTAGGTGAGGAGAGTAGTGTAGGAGACTGGCCTGAAGAATGAACAAAAAGCAGGAAGAAAACAACAGAAAAAGAAATTGCAGATTCCAACTGAAAAGATGAATGTACTCTTGGTTTTCTTTCACCTCATTGACTGGATGAAAATTCTAATTGCTGCTTGACTTGTCTTTTTTGTGCAAAGTGCAGATATATTCTGAAAAGTGATGAGGTGAAATTGCATCTTCCTTCTGGACAGGTCTGATCCCTGTCCACATTCAAAGTCACATCTTCTTTACTGACTGAAATAAGTTTTTGCTACTTTTGCCACCTGTAATCCCCGAAGAACTAGCAGAGCTCTGAGAAATGAACTAGATTCTGTTCTATTTTATACATCATCAACAGAATTGTTAACCCAGGCCTTGTCTACACAGTGCCGCAGTCCGGACTATGGGGGTGTGAGCATGTCGTGGGATATGCATACACCATCCCCCTTTTGGGACCGGGTTGTGATACCACCGCCGTTACAGTCTCCCAACCACCTTTAGGCCGAAAGCAGCCAGAGTCACTTCCAGCAGCCCTTGCATACAGGTCAGTGCGGTCTAGTGGCCAGATCAGTTACGGCCACCCTTAAGTTCATGGCAGCATGGCTTGGCGGCCAGAGTCAATTCCAGCTGCCCTTGTGTTCAGGGCAGCACGGTCTAGCGCAGGGGTGGGCAAACTTTTTGGCCTGAGGGCCTCATCGGGTTTCGGAAATTGTATGGAGGGCCGGTTAGGGGAGGGGATTGTGGCCCGGCCCCCACCTCCTATCTACCCCTCCCGGGACTCCCGCCCCATCCAACCACCCTATTCCCTGACGGCCCCCCCGGGACCCCTGCCCCATCCAACCCCCCCTCCTTCCTGACTGCCCCCCAGGACCCCGCCCCCATTCAACCCCCTATCCCCCCCGACCGCCCTGACCCCTATCCACACCCCTGCCCCCTGACCACCACCCAGAACTCCCCTACCCTCTATTCAACCCCCCGCCCGCTCCCCGCTCCCTGCCCCCTTACCGCGCTGCCTGGAGCACTGGTGGCTGGCAGCACTACAGCCGCACTGCCTGGCTGGACCTGGGCCACGCCGCCGCCGCCATTGCCACCACACAGCACAGAGCACTGGGTCAGGGTGGGCTCTGCAGCTGTGCTTCCCCAGGAGCTCACAGCCCCGCCGCCCAGAGCATTGCGCTAGCGGCGGAGTGAGCAAGCTGAGGCTGCGGGGGTGGGGGAACAGCAAGGGAGGGGCCGGGGGTGAGCCTCCTGGGCCAGGAGTTCAGAGGCCGGGCAGGATGGTCCCGCGGGCTGGATGTGGCCCACGGGCCGTAGTTTGCCCACCCCAGTCTAGCGACTAGAGTCAATGTAACCATCCTCAGGCACAGGACAATATGGCATATAATATGTCCATATAACAATCCTCTGGTACGGGGTAATGCGACCCAATGGCTGGAGTGAATGTTGCAGCCCCTACACGTGGGGCAGTGAGGCTCAATGGCCAGTGTCAATATAACAGTCTTCGGGTATGGGACAGTGCGACCCAATGGCCAGAGTCTATGTCACAGCCTCTAGGCGTCGGGCAGTGAGGCCCAATGGCTAGTGTCAATATAACAGCCTTCAGGTACAGGGCAGGATGACCCTATGGCCAGTATCAATATAACAGCCCCGGGTACAGGGCAGTGCAACCCTATGGCCAGTGTCAATATAACAGCCTTCGGGTACAGGGCAGTGCGACCCTCTGGTCCGGCTCTCAAGGTCTCCAGTTCCCATAGGCAAAGGCTGTGATGACTCCTTGGCTGGAGCCTCCGCCCAAAGTCCTTCCCCTCCGATGGTCAGCCTAGAATGAGCTGGGCTGCTCCCTTTTATACTGAGGCAGTAGTTGGAGCATGCCCAGCACGGTCTGAGGGGCGGACTTCCGCTGCCCATAGTGTGGGGTTAACCCCCTCTTGTCCAGTGCGGGGTATGCACACCCCATCACAGAGCAGTAGAGCACTCTAAAGTGTTGCACTCTAACTGCCCTATGTAGACACTGCTGGTGTCAACTCAAAGGTCCCAAGCTCCTGCTGAGATAGTCCCATAACACAGTCTACACTACACAGTACATCTTAGTGTACAACATTTTTGAGAGCTCTACCCAATTCACACGTCCGTACTCCATACTGTGGTGCCGTGTACAAAAGCCCTAGGTTCTGATTTCAGAATCTTTCTTGCTCATGGCACAAGTGTCAAAAGAGGCAGAAGAGCGAGAAACATCTCAGCTTGACTTTCAGATTCCAAGGGGATAGGGATAAATGTAGGGAATAATATTACTAGCAGAGATGTATTTATGTAACATTGTGTAGAGATTTGTTACCATGACTACCAGAATAAGGAACATTCATAGTACATCCATGCTTAGTTACTTGTGTTGAATTTCCTGATCTTCACTAGAGTATTCTGTGGGTCTGCAATTTTATGATTATCAATCTCCCTTTGGGATTTGTGCTTGCTTTTTAGAAAACAAGGTTGAAGCACATGCAAACATCAGAAGAAAGAACATTGTATGTATTTCTTTTTTGCATATTGGTTGCTTACTGAAGAGATTCCTAGCATGGAGAGAACAGTGGGGAACAATACCATATGGTTTTGAGTTCTGTAAAAGAAAAAGAGGTATATCAAATTCTTGAATATGGAAGAGATCCCATATTTTTATAAAGTGCTGACAAAGTATAAGAACTAGGCAGCAGGTCTGGAGAAGGTTAGCCATGCCCTTGACTGAATGTCTCTCAGAAACATGTCATTCTCATTATGCATGTGGGAAGCCTCAGTATCATGGAAATTTTAGACTAAGATTAGAAATCCAAGAGACACAAGTTCCAGTAACGTCACATGACTTCACACAAACTTTAAGGGTTCTTTCTAAGAAGTGAAAGGGCTTTAGCTTTCTCAGCTGTTGAAGACAGATTCCTGCCAACAGGGTTACCAGTTGGGAAATCATAAAAAAAAGAAAGAAAAAAAATAATGTGTTTCTTTCAAACAGGTGCACTATGCCTGCAGCAAAGAATGAGAAGAAGCATCTGTACAAGGAGACATTAGAATAAAAAAAAAGACCTGAGCTGCAAAGACTGAAATACCTTTTCAAAAATGGCAGAGTTCCAGGAACTTGGGGGAAGGGGGATTTTTTTTTTTTTTTTTTTTTTTTTTTTACATTTTCAGATAGGAGACGTAAAAGACTTGATTCTGGTTTCAGATATTCAATTACTTGTTGGTGCTTAAAATGTGAAATCAGCTGTTAGTAGCTGATTTAACAAGCTAGGCAGGGATATATGCCAGCATATCTGAGATCACTATCAGGCACAGATTGCCAGCCTGAAAATTAGGAGCTGGGAAGCCATAACAGCACGTGTGCACACACATACACACACACACACAAAACCCAACATATAATGTTTCTGCAGATAAGATAGTATTCAAGACATCCCCACCCTTCAAAAAAAATCAGCAGGCGTATTCATCACCAGTTAAAGAATTATGTGAAGTTTTAGCAAATAAACCTGGTATTTAAAGAGCACACAACTCCACTATCCTCAGTGGTAATATTTGCCCCTGCAATTTATTGTGCTTGCAAAATTGGACACCAAATTGAAGATAGATGGATAAACAGATAGACAAATAGAGTGTCCTTAAAAGATTTGGCCTTCATGATCACATCCAGGAGTTCGCAGGGTCTGCATGGAGCCACCAGTACCTTCCTCAATGTGCTTATCTTTGTGATCCATAACACAATTAGGCCTATTCTTGGGTTACACAGATATTCTTTGGTTACACATAAGTAATTCTCATAGGTAATGTAGTGGTTAGCTGTAAATAAAAGCTGTTATTCTTAGCTCACGTCTCTCAAATGGAATTCAACATTTTCAAAAAAATGACATAAAATTGTGTATGACCACATAACTGAATTTAAGATCTCTCATACTAAATATCTTTCATTTTTCTCACATCCATGAGAATTTTATTCTGCTTCTCCATTGACAAGCATAAAAAAAAAGTGCTCCACTTATTAGTTTTCATTGACATACATAAATGGGAGAGTATGTTCTAAGCTCCAAGCACTTCTAATAGCAAATTTTAAGTAAAATATTCACAGATTAGGCTTTGTGATCTAGGAAGAAGGCTTATGATTCAAAATTTCTACCAGATAATGTACTTTCTAATAACTCCACTTTATTCTTCTGGGATTTATTAAGTGGTACAAAATACAAAATAAATTATGCCGTGTTGTTAGAAACTTTACGTCCATTCTCATTCAATATAGTTTTAAATTGTTCACATTTGCTGTCAACTTTCCTGCATGGAATCAAATCTTCTTGTCATAATCTCATTGCCATAATCTTACTACCTTTGGCAATCATGGCTGACAGTTCCTGAAAATGCAGATTGCCATCAAAACCCATGAGCAAAGAGGCCTCACAAGATGCTGGCACATCCTTAGGGGAAGAAGTCAAACTAAAAAGTTTATTGTTCTTAAAGTGATCAAATCCCTTTTGGCATTTTCCCAATCTTCCCCTTCCCCCTTCACACTCATGTTTTAGAAATGAAAAGACAGATGACATGTAGCAAAATAAACATGGAAATACAGAAAATATTTTAAATACTCTGGCTTCTAGATTTATATGTACTAACGGTAAAATAAAACTCCAACTCAAACATTTGCTTGGTACTGAAATCAAACATTTGAGGTCTGAAAGAATCTGAAAACTTCTTCTTTTTTTTGCCATTGTTTTTCATATTTGTCAAAGAATCTTTGAGAAACACAGAATGAACCAACCTTACAAGACCCAGCCTTAGAGAGTAGTTCTGGATAGATGGCTAAGGGAAAAAAATCCATGAACTTCTGAGCATAAAAACAGACTGGAATTTTTACATGAAATTGCTGCATTAGGCAAGATTCTGCACAAAAAGGCATTATGTAACAATAGCAAACAGTATGCAGTCAGAAATACTAAGTATAATCCACAATGACCATCTAAGCATTGAGAAGTGTGAACAGCCTGAGATGTCTTATTTTGCCATCAAAGATAAGGTATCCAAATGTGAAATCTGCAATATACAGGAAACAGAAGGCAAAAGACAGACTGAAACCACATGAGATTCCTGGTATATACCTTTCTTCAAGGGCAGCATAGATCTACTTGAAAAAAATCAGAAAGAGAGTACCTCTGATTAATGTACTATTACTCTCTTTCTTCTTCTTCTCTCTCTCTCTCTCTTTCTTTTTTGTTGTTGTTGTTGTTGTTGTAATTTTGCTGTTGTAGAACACTTTGAATGGTAATGTAATAGCACTCACTGTAACTCATGGTTTACATGGGACTCGAGATGAGTTAATAACAGATAATGGTCTACCAGGTAGGGATGGCCCATTTTAGAATGTCAGTACACATGTTAGTTCAAACACACTGTTATGTACAGTTAAAGCCCATACATTGCATAAATGGATTAAGAGAAAAGTTAGTACAAATAGTAACAATATTGATAAAAACAAATCCGGTAGATTCAAGGGGTCCATATTTAGCATTGCTGCAATCTGTCAGAACATCTTACAATGCTTTATGAGGATTACTAGTTCAGAGACTCATAGTCAGGATGACAATCTTAGTGCTACCGTATACCAAGCTTCTTGAGCCAAAGACAATGAACCCTGAAATGGTCCAAAAAAGCAAATATGCCAGGAAACCAAAATTGAAGACATACTATGACCAGAATGCAAAAAAGTGACCTCCATTATATATGGGAGAGAGTGTTGGATTTCAGATAGCAGATGGCTGGCAACCTGCCCAGGTAACATCTATAGCGCGCACACCGACGTCAGATGTTATAATCACCCTGATGGTCAGCCTTAGAGGAGGAGCAAAAGACATCTAAAGAAAGCCAGGAAGGATACTTGATTTCTGTTTCTTGAGGACATCCTAGAAGCTAATGACAGTTCGTGTGTGCTGACAGAAATAACACATGCCCACCCAATCACTGACAAAGAAAAACACCAAGAGCAGCAAACACAGGCTCTAGGAAGCCAAGCCAACCATTGCAAGGAACTGTTCTGAGCCTAAGAACTGTTTGTGTAAATCAGACAGCCATTCAGGACCAGAGATAGAAGTTACTAACAGACATTCAATAAGAGGCATGTGTCTCTCATCTGTCAAAGAGATTCATGTCATCTATCCTGACTTACATTCTGTTTTAGTAATAAGCTGTATTAGTTTGTGGCAGTGTTTTTTGGTTAATAGTATGTTTTATTTGCATTTGACCTTTCCTTAAGTAGCCACCGGAATCAGTGAACAGGTGTAGCACTGACTCTGTGCCAGGCCTAAGAAGTAAAGACCAGTGTTTTACCAACACTGCTGAGTGTCGCAGATTATGACCTAGAGGGTGTTCAAATGGCTCAAGGGGCTAGGCAGGGAGTAAAATAAGGAAAGGGACTAGGGAGAAAAGTGAAAGTTCTTGTGGGAAAAAGTGGGGTGCAGCTGTTGGGAATGGGTGAGATATTGTAACAAATTAAGGTAATGTTAATTACTAATTTATTGTTAAAATAAATAGAGTTATTGACAGAAAAAGGTGTTGTTTTTTCTTTTGTTACATAAGAACTTAAAGAAAGGGTTTCACACATACAAAAGAACAGAATACAACAAAGATGAGGCATTTTAGATGATGTGTTATGAAAATTAGACTTCTTATTATTACAAATACATGATTTAGTCAGTTGTTGATTTTAAACATTTATAGAGTAACAGAATTTGTCATGGCAGTTTACAAAGATTTGCTAATACATGGGGTCTGATTCTAATTGCACATATAACAGTGAAAGTCACTTGTAACTGCATTGTAATGAATTGAGTTACACTGGTGTGAAACTGGTGTGAGATCAGATCAGGCTGATGGTTCTTGACCCAAAGAACTTACCATGCAGTCTAAGGACCTGATACTGAAGAAGAAAAAAAACAAAACTTATGAATGTGCTTTACTTTATGTGCTGTGATCAATTTCACTGAAATCTACGCATATATCTCTGCAGGATCAAGGCCTAAATTAGACAGCCATAGAACAAGAAGATAACAGTTGATCCAGTTTGCGTCAACATTCCTCAGATAGTTCAGCTGTTAATGTAATACAAGCAGTAAGCCTTTCCATTACTCTTAGTTATTTTATTCTTGTGAACTTCATTCCAATAGTGGATATTTGTTGTTGCAACCATAGTGATTAAATATATTTACTGGCTGCAGTAACAAAGATTCTAAACAAGCACTTGTTTGATTTCATTATTTTAGGACATTTCTGTAACAGCATCTTCATAAACATTAGGAAGGACATAGTGTGGAAATAACTCTTGCACCAATTTTTCTGACATTAGACTAGTAATGATTCAATTTTGGACAATCCCAGAAGATATGAAGATGGTTCCTTTCTTCAACCATGCTGCTAAGAATTTTATGTCTGTTTACACTCTTCAGGGAAGAGAGCATGCCAGCTTTTGTGTTTGTACAGCTCCTAGCATACTGTGGATACTACTAGAAATAAAATACAGTTTGTTATATAAGCCTGGCATGAAAGGTATCTAATCATAATTTTACACAGGTATATTCTTCTCCTGAGGGAGAATTTGTATTATTCATAGAAGAAATCAAATTTCTCTCACCTGACTGCTGGAAAGCTGGGGAGGTGCTCTGAATGAGCAAGAATGAGGATAAAAGGTATGGAGAAGGGACTGAGGATGTCCACGGACTGTGGAAAGGAGGGAGGAGTAGAAATTAGACTTGGCAGTTCTGAGGTAGCTTTGTAAAATATTTGATGACATTTCTCATGTTGTAATGGACCTAGAGATTGAATATAGGGCTTGTTTGGTTTTTGGTTTTGTTTTTTGAGGCACTGATTTGTGCATTAGGTGGAATGTATATTATATGGCCAGATCCTGAGCTGGTGTTAATCAGAATAGCACCACTGACAACAATGGAGCAATGCTGGTTTATGCCAACTGATGATCTGATCCAGTGTTTTGAGGTTTAGGATCTTGACATGTAAGAAACAATGCAGGTTTGGATGGGGCTGGTTGATCATAGCAATCACCAGGGCAGAGTTATAAAGTAGAGCTAAACAAATAATGGAAAATGGTATTTACAGAATATTTTAGTTGAATTATTTAGCA